TGCCAGTAATATCTCAAACCTGAAGCGTGTTTCAGGAGTTTAGCTCAGAACCTAACACACACACAGTGAGCATTTATATTCATATCTAGAACTCACTATCTTTCTCCTAACTCCGATTATTTATTGCCATCAATGTCTTTCACACAAATGAAAATGGAATAGAAAAAAGTTAGAAAATATTATTAAAATGTAAAATGCCTTCAGATAGTGCTCTAAAATGCAAAAGACAACCATGTAAACCCACAAAAAACCAGTATCATGAGGGTAAATTCAAGAAGATATGAGATGACATCATAGCATATTTAGAAGGCAAACTTTGGGATATTCAGCAATTATTCTTCAGAGTCATTCAACTTTAGGGATAGACCAACACTGTGTATCACCCTGACCTAGCAACTGGTTCGGCTCATGAGGATGTGGAATGTAGCTATTCTGCAAAATAATGACTTAAGGGAAAAAACAGGCAGCTCAATATCATGCCAATATTTCTTTTCACTTCAGATTGAAAGTTCTCATTTTTTATTACTTCTCTTCCTTCTCCAGTTTCTTTTGTTTCAGGATAACTGTATTATTTCCAGAATTTTACTGTTCAAATTGCGAAGATTAAATTTAGTCAATAAAAATAGTTTAAGAAAAGCAAACTCTACACTTACAGAAAAAAAAAAATGGGCATTAAATCAGGCACCTGCAAAAAGAGACTAGAAAATGAAGATTCAGGCAACTACATTTATTTCCTTTTCATGCATTCTTGTCAAAAACTACTGTTAGTTGTGGCACTACTTTACTTGAATCCTGCTGTCAACTGAACTGAAAATTCTGCTGTTCTTTTGCTTTAAATTAAGGTAGCCATAAGAAGGAGCAATTTCATTTACCAGATTTCTAGGGGAAGCTCCAACAGAAAAGAAGTTCAGCATACACAGTAAAAATCATTTTTATTTAGCTCTTGCCACATGCCACCAAAGCTGCTAAAGTTCAGATGCTGAGCATCCAACCCTTGGAGCAGATACTACAAGTGAAAATGCAGGGGAAAAAGGTGGTTCATAGCCATCAATAAAAGCTTTGAGTCCTAACTTATTCCTAACCATGCAATTGCAGGCTCAAGCCATGCCATTTCCAACCTGCCACAGTCTTGACATTTTGGGAGCATTTTCATCTTTGCAAAGGTCAGAAATCTGAAACAGCACCTTATCTCACAATTAATAGTTAAAGACATGGGCCCTTTATGTGTCTGCATATTTTTTATTAAAACCAGTAGTGTTGTGGATATCTCAATGGGGTCTATTCTTTTGACAGAAATACTCACCTAACCTTTTCCTCAGAGAAAAAAAAATGGTTGTCAAATATATACTTTAAATGAGACTTTTTGTAATTAAGGAATTCAGAACACTTCTTTTTCTAGTTCAGAAATTCCGATTTTATTAATTCTTAAGCACTAGAATCTTTTTCATAATGGCATACCATTGTTAATCAAGAGGTCTCCTCTGTATTTCTTGGAATAAAACCAAAGCAAAATCACATTATGCCTGAAGAGGAATGAAGATGATCTCTTTTGCTTATTGCCTATCTAATTTTAACTTTTTTTCCTGAATATTTGAATTTTCTCTCCAAATTAAATTAAAATTCTGTCTCATATACATACCATTCCACTGCCCTCTGCTGGAGAGAATATATCTTATAGCCAATTTATGGAAAAGTAATCTCTGATTGACTAGAGGCTGATGTTTCTGGACCCAAAACCGGGGTGTTCCTCTCTTGGTGAAGCCTGCAAGCAGTTGGCCAGTACATCCAACGGCAGATGTTTGATCATTATCCGTCTCCAGAACAAATAAACATTCAATTCAAAAAAGCAAAAACACTAAGTTAAAAAAACATGGAGACAGCACAATTAAGTACCCAAAAATTAGGATGTGTCAGAGGTAAAATTTCACGTGGAAATGTGTCTCTAATTCCAAGTGCATATTCATTTACACTTCAGATTTTGCTTTTATGGAGGAAAACCTAATTGGTTTTCTGCATGGTTTAGGGATGCTCTCAAATTTAGGTAGTTTTTTCAGTGTGGTTAGTCATAGGTATGGATTTGTCTGAACCTCCACAAAATAATGTCAGGTGCTTTTCTGCTTTTTGTTATTGAAACAAGCCGATCCATAAATATAAGGTGCGAACCAAATTAATTCATAAATAGGCTGAACACACAAAGCCAATCTGAATAGTCTGAAAAATCTTTAATAAATTACTTTGCAGAATAATACATTAGGGTACCACTTACTACTGAGTCAAATAACTATTCAAAACTGGTATTTTGCATAAGCAAAGGGCAATTGAATCAGGACTTGCCTCACTTCAGGTAGCTAGGTAGTTATGAAGCGATCACTCATTCAAACAAAGCATTAAATGAAAATGAGCAGATCTCTTCAATGCACTGTCACTGGCAAAAAACAATCAATATGATGATTTAACATCTATCAATGCTGATTTAACATTTATCTTGCTGCATTACAAAATTTCTCCCTGTTTTTCACTGGTACGCCTCACTGGAAACTACTTTAGATCAAAAGCTGGTAAAAGAGACTGGAAAACAAACAGCATACAGAAGGACTTCCTATATTCTTTCTTTTGTTTTCTATTTAGTTTGCAATGACTGCAAACCACTTTTCCTATTCTGAATTCATCTGATGAACAGAGGGAAAAATGAGACTCAAATATCTTACTTATTCCAATTTGAGTTATTCTCACTAACTCAGATTTACTTACAGACTAAGAATGAAAAATTATATATGATCTTCTAGGTTTAAGGTACTACATATCCTGTAAGTGATGAGGCTATAAAATCCATTTGTAAAATCATTTGCTTTTATTTCAGCTGAACTTTTGCTGTAAGACAGCCAAATTTAGTCACAAGCTATACACAAGAAATGTTTTTGCTTAAAATAATACCCAGCATACAATCCAGTCATTCAAATTTTCATCAGAAACTGGTATTGTTGTTCTCTTGCAGCTGCTTTTTGTCAGACTAAATTTTATTTTACAGAGCATTACAGTAACAGAAGTAAATCCCTCTTGGCAAGAGTTTGTTAGAGACTGGAGAAGTCCTTCTCCTGTGTTGCCTGCAGGCAGCACAATGTTCAGCAAGTCCTCTGGATTGAAATTAATGTGGTGGTAAAATCTAATTACATTGGGTTTTTGGTTGGGGTTTTTTGGGGGGTTTTTTGGGGGGTTTTTTTGTTGGTGGTGGTGGGTTTTTTTTTAGTTTTGTTTTGTTTTGTTTTCTGGGGATGATGATTTTGTGCTGCTCTGGAGCAGAAATGCTAAAAAGGCTGTGTTAGACCCAGCCATGTTTTGCTGCTGAAAAATCAGGGTGCAGAGAGTACAGGCACAACAGGCTCCCAGACCTCGGCTAGGGGGATGTGTTATCTGGTATCACCAGCACAGTTGGGCAGCGTAACTTCTCCACTTGAAGTCCTCATTCACAGACCTTTAAGTATTTTTCCTTTAATTGAAACCCCTGAAGGAAAACAAAAACAATCCCTCCTCATGTTGCTGAGGGAAATTTGTGACCTGTTTGACAGATGCTTACCTGTTCTTCCAGGTCCCAAGGCTTTCCAGCAAATGAGCCACCAAGCTGCTCCTTACTGATCCAGGCAGGAACATCTCCTGGTACAAGAACATATTTTTCTTTCCCTTCAGCTGAACCTTTGCCCATCGTCATGTAGCGGGCCTCACTTTAATAGAGAGATTATTCCTTGTATACTTTGGAAAAAGTAATTTCTGTAGAAGTACAGAATTACCTCATGCTTGTATCATTTCTCTCACCAGTCTATTTTGGAGGCAAAGGCAGGATCCTGGTGTGTGCAGCTCAAAGCCACCTGACCTAAAAGATTGATGGGCTCTTGGGTTTCCTCTCTTGGTTCTCAACACAGGGTAAAAAAAATCAAGAAGACCATGACTGTTTTGCCTAATGTAATATTTGAAAGTAAGTGCATGTGATGTTGCCTTCATCAGTGATTTCCTCATCAATTTTTTGACATCATGGAATGCAGTGGAGACTAGTGACAAGTGTTGAAACAAAACTCAATCTTAACTCTAAACAAAGTTACTGTTACTTTGTGTGTGTACAGAACCAGCATGAAAATGGACAAAACCTCAGGCTAACAAGAAGGCACCAGGGGAGGAATGATTTAAAAGGATATTTTCATTTCCAGAACCAATTCACATCTTCACTGGCTAAAGCCAGGCACAATAATATCAACTGTTAGTTTTATAGCAGCATCTTACAACAGTGACACAGACAAGTGTGTCTGTAATAAGATTTCTTACATTTCTGCCTTATAATAGAAGAAAAATTATTAGTTTCTAGAAGCTTTGGGAAAGACATAATATTGATCTTGCATATATTTTTGCATCCTTATAAGTTATTAAGGGGAGCTATATTAAAAAATTTAGTTTCAGTATTAAAATATTTTGCTCTATGGTCATGGTGGGGAGACAGAATAAGTTGTTCGGTCTTCTGCCATGAAAATTTTATTTTCTAAGAAGCTCCTCTTGGTTCATTGCTTATATACTCCAATTATAAACATTGAAATTATAGCTTTCATGAGACCATATGCAAAAGAAGAGTCTCCCTCACCTATAGCTTGAACTGGTCAAAGGAAGATTCTGAATCCTAAACCAAAACTCTTCCAATTGACTTGGAAGCTCATACATGCAGAAGAACACCAGGCTGGTGAGCTCTTTGCAGCCTGTGTTGCTAAGGAGACGAGGAGCTGGTGTTGGAAAGTAATGTTTAGTACATTTATATAACAAGGAGTTGCAGGTTTCAGTGCTGCAAGTGTCCAGATTTCTGCAGTAATATATATTGGATATATTTGAGATGGCTGTTTCCTTCCACAAAAACACCCCAAAAACAACAACAACAAAAAAACCCAACCCCAAAACCAAACAAAAACCAACCAAACAAAAAAACTTATAAAGGAGAATAAATGAAGAAATATTTGACACAGTGGTAAGAGAATTTTTTTTAATTTATATTTATTTATTTTTTGCTCTCAGTTGGGTAATCAGTAGCACTGAAGGAGTCAAAGTATTCTGAAGAAAAGAACTGATGTACTCTCAGCCAAGCCCACACAAAACAGTGCCTGAAGGTTGTACACTGCTCCAGACACATTCATGTGGTCAGCCAAGCGCTGAGAGGCAGCAGCCATTTCTCCAGTGAGGATTCTGAGCTCTGAAGATCCCTCCTTCCTCACTCAGCAAGTAAACTGAGGTAGGGCTGACTGGGACAGAATAGTTGAACCCAATGTTAACAAGGTGAACTGTTTTCTTGCCTATCCTCAATGCGCAGGTGCATTTGATGACCAGGGATTTTCAAGGAAACCATTTTTCTTCTAAAGAATTCACTCGCACTCTAGTTCAGTTTTGTCTTGCTTTTTTCATTTCAGCTGCCCATTTTGACAGTGTAGAAGGCTACACTTGGCTGAAAGGAGTTGTAGAGGTTTTTAGATTATATTCACTAATTTCCTAATAAATAGATCAAAATACCCCTAGCACAGCGATAATTCTATTTAATAGTTTCAGCACAAAAACTATTAGTAAGACAATGACATTGAAACAGATTTTTCTAATTTGTTTGACACGTCAAACAGAAATATATATTTAAAAGTTCTAACTTTTACCACCAATCAGTTTTGTAGTTAAACTGAGACCTTTGCTGAAATATTTACTGAGAAGAAGTTAATTCAGAGAAATTAGTTTTGCATTTAGTTCCAAAAATTACTGGCATTGTGGGATTACAAAACTGCTGGTATAAAAGCTTTTGTGAGTACTTATTTTATACTAGAATGTACTAGCTGTCATATCAATATAGTCACAATAGAAATAAATGGGATCAGTTCAATTTATTCCATTTTTTATAGAGGTACGCAAAATTCTGTCTAACTATAGGAAACACAAATTTTCTTAAAATTAGTTACTAAAGTTAAAAATAGTAACAACATATGTCCACACTTTCCTGCTTCCCATGTTTGAAAAAAACTGACATTACTTTCTTCATCCTAAAATCCTAAAATCCAGATTTGCAAACAAAATAAATCTGAGTCCTTCTATCAAGTTGAGCATTTGCAAAATAAGACATTTCCACTATATTAATTTTTGGTATTTAAATATCCTAATGAAGGCAGGAGCCAGATAGAATGTGTAGAAAGACATTCAAAATAACAAAATCTGAATCAAAGAATTTACAGACTAGCAGAGAGTAGTCTGCACAAACACTGGAAGAACAATTTCCCTAGTATGTTATTTGTCCAATAGCAGGAATAGGAAATCCTTGGGCTTTATAATCCTCAGGTGATTTAAAATAATTAGAAAATGTCCAGATGCATACAGCTAGTTGTGTTTTAAAGGAATTGACCACAACAGAAAACAACATCGACCACAACCTGTGTGAAATAAACTCATAGAACAAATAACACCTTGTTGAGGACCAAAGGTGTTGTAAGAAACCTAAACTGAATGTCTTTTATTTAATAATAAGCTCTATCAATTGTGAAACCAAAGAAAAATATATTTAGAAATGAGAATAGGTGTCCTATATGCTGAAAGGCACAAACTAGTATTTTCTGGAAATAGTTAAATAATAGTGGACAAAGCTCAATTTCTATATAATGAAATAAGGTCTCCTTAAATCCAAGTTGTTGGTAAAAATTGTCTAACTTTGAAAATCTTTGCTCCTCTAATGCTGTGTCTACAAATGATAGATTGTTTCCAGCTTATTGAATGAATCAAGAGTTATATTTTTTGTTATCTTAAAGAGGTTGCATTGACAGTAAGCAAGAAAAAGGCTCTGTTTACCTCACTCTGGCTGCTGTACTCTAAGTAAAATTAAAGCTTCTGGAAAGGAGAAGGAAGGTGGGAATTGTATTTTTTTTCTCAAGAGCAAGATGAGCTCTGCAGAACTTTTTAAACGCAGATGGAAAAGACAACAGGAGAAATGGTGAGCAGCATAATTACAGACTGGGATATTCCTGAGAGGACACAGCTACTTGCCTATGGCATTCCCTACAGATTCAAAGCTGAGCTCTGGAGGAAACGCGCCAGAGAACAATACCTAGGAATGGAGAGAAGGTTTCAGTCATTATTTCAGCCCACAAAGTCACTGGCAGCTGCTGATTTTGGTAGAATTTGTTGAAAGGATTCTCATCCGGCAAGACACATTGGTTGGGGTTGATTTTTTTATGCTTCCTTTATCCAGTGGCCTGATGTTCCCTACTGTCTGAGCCATATTCTCCAACTGTGTTTGCTTTTGTGCTAATGGCACAAAATACTACAAGTAGTATTAGAATTTGGAGATTTTGTAGCTTACATTAAAAATGTATGACAGGAAAACAGCAGAGTGGTTCTGTTTCTAGATTTTAGCAAATTCAGCATTGAGACAGGAGAGAGGCATAAGTACCGAGTAATCCCAGGCTGGAATATCAGGACACAGATATCCACAGTGCTTTGCTAACACATTTGTTATTAAGCTGCTTTTAGGATTATGTTTAGAGGAATAGGAAATGATGATGCTAAGCAGTTCAACAGGCAACTGCATCAAACAGGTATCATAGACTCTGTGGACAACTGGCTACCATCAAAAGGTTTGAAATCTGAAATTCTTACGACAAGCTCATCTGTACAGAGCTCAAAGCCATATTCAGGATCACAAATAGAAATGTTGTTGTGGCTGAATGGGTCTTGGATATAGTTCTTGAAAATCAAATATTTTCCACCAGAATTTCTCAGTTGCCCAATATTTATTATCTGTACATGATCAAGAAATTCAGTTTACAAGCATCATATTCTGCCTAAACTTAAAAAATGCCAAACATTTATTTCCTATGAGAAAAAGGTGAAATTGGTGATTCTTTTTTATTAGGTGATTGATTTTTATTAGCTTTTTAAAATTTTCACCAACTACTCAATTATTTTCGTTTCAATCAGACCATAGACAAGCCTACTAAATTCGGGATTTTCAGTATGATTTGCTGAATTTAAATTAATTTGTTTCTGTCAAGCAAGAGAACAATTTGGGACATTTGATCTACATTATCAAGCAGATTAAAAAATCCTGTGCAACAGATGTTAACAAACATGCACAACAATTTCATAGATTTCTGAATTAAACTATAAGGAAAGAAATTTGATTCTTCTTCTTCAAGCTGACCTTTAATTTTGTGGTCATTGGAATCAGATCACCTGTAGTCTCAGTTTAGCATAGTCTTTCATCCTAATAAAAATATAGTAGCAAATCCTAATCAGAGTAGTAATGCACTCCCAGCTATGTACTGAGTTCTGTCCTGAAGGACCATAGGACTGAAGAAAAATTATTCACCTATTTTCCATTCCTGATGGCAGATGATTTTAGAAATAGTGGTAATGAGATACTACTGGACCTGTGGGAAAAAGAAATTACACAACAATTGAAAAACAAGCCCAGAGCTTGTTACCAGGGCATTTTTCATAAGATTGATTACATAATCTTCTGGTAATTCATTAACATTGCCTAATTCCAAAGTTTTCTTCTGTTTTCCAAAACCATGAGATTTAATAGGTTGTTTTCAAAAAATCATGAAGATTCAGGGTGAAATTTTCAACAACATGCTGCTTTTATTTTAAATATTAGCACATTGATGATCTGAGATGCATCTGCAGCTATACATCGTCTTTCTGCCACTAAACCTGAATATTCGCTCATTGCACTTTCAAACTTGTCCTTATACCCTGCTGAAGTCATATTTCAGATTATCACAGGAGGAAGGCTGTTCCCTGCACAAGCAGTTTTACTGGATTAGTTTCTCTCTAGACAGATGGTTTTCTTTGAATTTTTGTCCAGAGTTGGGCTTTTCACCACAAAGATTAGAAGCAAAAACTAAAGTTTAACCAAGGAAAGCAATAGCTAAAGTTCTTATTTTCAAGACTGGAAACTTATAGAAGTAAAGGAAACAAAAAAAAAAAAAAAAAAAAAAAAGAAGTAATTATAGATTGTACCTGTCAGTATTACACAACGAGCCTTGAGGGATTATGTAAAACATTCTTACTCAAGGAACAGTTTCAGCTCATATCACTTCATGCCCATCCTTGCTGCTACTCCTAGTATGAATTAGAACTAGTTTGAAGACCTGAGAAGTTCCCCCACTGCTAGAGTTCATCAAATTCTTTTGTGAGTTATTTTCTCTCTTTATTCAGAACAGAACCTTATCCTCCCTTTCTCATCTCTTATCTGGCATTGTTATTGTGTAGGAATACACTTTCTGGATCTCCACAATAATGGGTGTTTTGACTCCTGTCCCCCCCACCCTGTCTTTCAGAAGAAGCTATAACACGAGTTTTACCTTTAGATAATTAGCAAGTATCTGAAGTGCATGGGATCACCCACAGTGCTAATGCATATGGATGAGTACTGAAGGAGAAAGAAAACTTACTTTCAGTGACTGTGGTTCCTCTGCACTTTTCTTCAGAGCTCTGTCCATGTTTCTTCTGCATGTGCTCCTGTGATTGAAGGGAAGTGCCCTCTTATCTACCTGGAAAATAGAAGGAGAATGAAGGCGCAAGAGTATTTTTCTAAGTCAGTTTAGAAGACCTGACATTCTCAGAGCTGAGGTCATCAGTCTTCTCCACAACTGACAATAAAGATGGAATAGTAGTCAACTGGAGTACCAAAGCCTCTTGATGGTTTGAAAGTCTATTGACTATCCAGATTAAAAAGAAAACTGTGTCCAGCCAAGAAATTCTCATGCATGTGCAGATCACACTGTTTGTACCTAGGAATCGAAAGAACAGTAACTACTGTTCAAAGCCTAAACTTGTGTCTATGTCTTCTTATGTCTTATGTCATCTTTCCAAAAAATGGTGATGATGAAAGATGAAACTAGCTGCAGAAACTGGAAAGATCATGATAGAAATATAGAGGTAAAATATTAATTAACATGAATGGACATTTCACATTACAATAAGCAAAAAGGTCACAAAAAGTTACTGTGGGGTAAGAGCTGAGTGCAACCTTCATTTTGTTTTACAGAGCTGGAAAAATTAGTAGCAAACAGAACAAAAAAAAAAGAACTCCACCCCAAAACCCATGAATGAAATAATATGAAAAACATTTTGTTTTAGCAAAAAGACATAATATAGAAAGAGTTTTGTTTTGTCAAAAATTTTTCTCTCCACTGTCTAAGTGTTCTGATTCAGCTGAGTAGCTTAGATGATGCAATGGATACAGGCATGTGCACAAAGAACAGCACCTTCCAGGCATATCTAAAGCAAAACAGGGTCTGACTTAATCACCTTCAAAATAAAAACACATCATAACGTGAATAAACATGTAGAAAACACTCAACAGAGAATTGCCTTCCTTTACATGTTTCAGTTGAGGAGGCTTATGGAATGTTTCCAATTTGACATCCAAAATGTATCCATCTAAGACTAACTCTTAGCACAAGTAAGACTTTTAAGTGCTAGACTGTAGTAAAAATGATACATGTATTTTAAAAAGGTATTTCTGTATGCAAATGTTTTTGGCTATATTCTTGCTCCAATAGGATTTAAAGATTTGCTAGTTCAGTTTTCCATCAGTAAATACTTCTCATTCAGCAGGCATTACAGCACAACTAAATCCATTCTCTTTTTAAATATTCAAAGCAAAGGAGAAGGTTGAGGGCAGCCCATGGCACAGATCAAAACGCACAAATTAAGTAACTGAATGAGAAACATAGGAGGCATTTGGCAAAAATTTTCTTTCACAATACACCACACAGAAATTTTATTTCATTTTTGAAGCAAACATTCAAAGGTTTCAAAATGTATGTTTTTCAAAACTAAAAAGATGTCTTGATACAGGTTTGTTCAATCATTTGGGGCCAATACTTAGTATGACATGCTGAAAGGCAAAGCTGGAAGACGTCCGAGTTCCAGATAAAAGATCAAAACTACTTTTTTTTTAAGTTTTCCTTTGCAATTGCCACTCACTGTATATAATATTTAGTCTAAGAAAATCTTCACATTATTTCTTAAATTTATTAAGGAATTTGTACAAACTGTTATTCCTGCAAACTGCTCTTTTCACTGTAGTCTTATCTCCTTTTGCAAAAAATGTTCATGAAATAACTCACATACAATGAAGCAGTGTACTCAGACTTGAGATATATGAACAGCAGATGAGGGGGTTGTGATTGACTATATATTCAAAATACAGTGACTTATGAAGAAGAGGCAAAAATGCTTGTAGTGTACAATGTATGGGTGTTGAAAAGTAAACAAAGGTAATATACATTACTGCTTTGTTTGATTTCCTCTTTTTAAAACTTATACCCCATCCAAACACAAGCACATTCTATCCTAAGCAACTTGGAAGTGTTTTAAGAGTTATGATTGGCACTGTCCGGTTGAACTATACACTCAATTCATTAGCTTTTTTTTACCAGAAACACAATCATCTATATCCCTTCGACTGAATTCTTTCAAATATTAGGTTCCATAGATCCAGGTGGGTAAGTACAGCTACAGAAGATTATTTCCATATTACAGTTTGTTTTACCCAAAATGTAATCTGTAACTCTGGAGAAAACATGTTATAACACTGTGCAATTTGGCAACAAAATAATGAATTACTAAAACTTGAATTTGTGGGCTAAATCAACAGAAATAAGTAAGCCCAGCAAAACAGCCTGAAAGAGAATTTAGAGTCAATTTGGATAGGAGTCTAGCCAAAAGAGAGGGATTAGCACTTCTTTGAATAATTTCACTGTTTGGTCATCCATTCACTCTTTTTGTACTACATGCATGTGGAACCTGTCATAATGAGGTTTGAGCCCAGGCCAGAATTTCATAGGTATTGCAAAGAATAAATATTTAATTTTACTGAATAATTTTGCAGCAACGTACAATTGCTCTCTTGATGTCTTCAAATTATATCTGAGTGTATCTTTAAGAACATATGCTTTACCATAGAACTATTCTGTTACTGGAGTTAGAGAATGAAAGATGGAGTTAGTATGTCTTATGCAGGAAGTCAAACAAGACAACTTAGTGGCACTGTCTGGTTTAAAAATGTGTCAAATGCAGGTCAGAAATGAAAGAATATCTATGGGTTGCATTTTATCAGAAGGTAGTATTTGCTGTGATGGCTGCTATAATATGATCACACAAAGACCAGGTTTGTTTTTTGCTTTCATGTCTTGTGAGATAAGCCAGTGATTATAGGCAAAACCTACTTCTAAAAATGTGTACAGTTCTCTATCATCCTAACAAAATCAATGGCTCTTTTTTTTTTTTTTTTTTGGAATGGTATGCACTCTGTCCTTCACTTAATGCTGCTATTTAGGTGTTATTATCCATTCGCTTGGAATCAGCAAGAACTAATGAAAAACAGTGAAGGAGAAGGGGCTTCAGAAACAAGAGTTAATATCAAATACTAGGAGATCTTGCAAGTCCACAACAAAATCCTCTTGAGAATGTTGGTATCTTGACTCCATCCCTCCTTTATTCCAAATGGCTGCTGTGCTGATACCAAACCATGCACTGAGTGGCAAAGGGAAGGCAGAGGAAAGCATGACCAACAGCTTGCTTCCAGCTTTAGTGAGCTGCGGTGGGAATGATCATTTGCATTCTGGTACAGCTGGTCTGCTGCAGCCTTTGAATGGAGTGACTATGCAAATCAGTCATACGGCATCAGTTTTGTACTCCTCTGCTTTCCAGGAGGGTTAATTAAGTCCTGAATGAAAATTAAACCAAAAAGAAGATAAATTTTTCTGCTTTAGGGACAATCAAAACAACGAAAAATATAGTATGCTAGGACCACACAAGCAGGGACAACAGCTGGTGAAATAAAGGAGATGGGACTGAGAGGATACAAATCTTCTGCCTAAAGAAATAAGTGTGCATATTTGTTTGGGAAACAAGATTTCACAGAATCAGCTGTCAAACTCACTCAATCCAAAGACCTCATTTCTGACCTTGTATTTGCTGATTTATTACCACTGATAACCAGAAACAGAGTCCTCATCTGCAACTTCAGGGTTTTCTCCTAAGAATTCTTGGCCAGAAATTGATGAGATTTTCAACAAAATGTAGGCCCAAGTTTCTAAGTGCCCCACTGCAGTAGATCACAGAAATAACCGTATTTAAGGATTCTTTCAGCGTAAATCCCACAGTTCAAAAATAACCATAGGCTTAGATGAGAATCATGATTAAAAGCATCCCAGTGTCATTTGGCACTGCCCTTGTCATATCCCCATTGCAGCTTCAGTGATTTATAGGATGTGTGTCTCTATGATCACACAGTAAACTGTAAAACACTTTCTTACATATCACAGAATCATACAAACATCAATGCTGAAAGAGGCCTTCAAATCTAGTCCAACCATCATCCTAGAAGCTCTTGAATACTTACAGAGACAACATCTCCCCGGCCAACTAATTCCAATGCCTAACCACCCCTTTGCTGATTTTCTTTTGCAAATATCTAATCTGGACCTCTCCTGAAAAATGTGGGGTTTTTTAATTTGTGTTTTGATACTTCATCAAATAGTTTTGAAGGTTCAAATAGGTTTACTTGAACTGTGTTTTTTCTGCCTTGTAATTTTTTCTGCCACAACTAATGTCAGTTCACTTCAGATGGTGATGAAGGATGGTTAAAAATTCATAACAATAGAAATGCCAGAAGAATGTGCTTGTGAAGTAGGAGTGGCTACCCAGCAGCACAGGCAATTCATACAAAGCTGTCAGGTGTTGTTCCAGTGAGACAGAAACTCTCATTATTGATACTTCCTTTCCGACTCAGAGAAATCTGCCTTAGCTGGATTACATAAAAAACCCAAGAGGAAGGTGAAGCAGGTTGGGTATCTTGGCAAACACTGAGAAGAGCTTGTGCATGCTCATACTTTAGTGCACGTGTGTGATGGGCACGTGTGTGCAAGTCCCTGAGTGGATGTCATTTTTCCACTGCATTGTTAAAGTGGAGTGAAAGGGCACTGCCCACGCTCCTCTCCGAGGACTTGACCCAGTGGCAAGGACCTTGCATTCTTCAGCTGAGAAGTGCATCTGTTTGCCTGAGCTGAGCCAGATGAAAGCAGCACTACCAGGCTCTAGCTTTGCCTCAGGCCCTTGCTTTTGAAAGAGCCAACCCTGCTGTTTCTCTTTGGGGCTTATTTCTGGTCTGAGAAGAATTGGCTAAAAGGAAAATCTTCAATTTTTAATTTGCCTTTGTAGCTTAGTAAGGAGACAACATATATTTTTCATTTGAAAATTCATTTATTTTAAATATGGCAAGAGTTTGAATTTTATGCTTGAAAATCACAATCAAATCTCCCCCAGACAAATTGATGTTTTCATAAACTGGAACATATTTAGAGTAAGACAGCTCCTCACAATTTCATTTATTAGCAAGAACAAGTTTTAGAAAACTGCTGGTCCCATATTCAGTTGCATTGGAAAGTAACATTAGGCAGTGGTATTCCCAGTGGTATCCCTGACCAGCTACTTGGGCAAGCCCTTTCACTTCATGGTGTATCCAGCTTCCAAGAGTGAT